CCTCTTCTCATGTTCCTGAGTCCGTTGAAAGTCAGCTTTTATTATGACATTTGTGTACGAGTCATTTCAATTTTCATTGTATTGCAAAGTTATGCCCTCATATATTTATTAATAAAAATTCAAAATTTTATCAGTGTGACACGTGTCAATAGACTAAACATACGTGTCATGTAAATCTTCTGTCTCAATACAAACCCTCACATCATTTCTCTAACATCCATAATGATATTTAGGGATCATTAATAAAGTTAGATGGTTTGTCTCTTTCATTGATGATCACATTAGAACCAGTTGGATATTTTTTACAAATGATAAATATGAAACAACACAAATCTTTCAGTTCATCCATTATATGATTGATATTCAATTCCAACGCAAAGTTTGGATTATCAAAGCTGATAATGTAAATGAATACTTCAACACAATCCTTAGACCCTAACTTGCAAAGAATGGTATCATCCATGTGCGTTACAGTGTAGAGACTTCATAACAAAAAGATATGGCTGAGAGGAAGAATAAATATCTCCTTGTGGTATATAGGTATATAATGCTTTCTCATAATATCCCAAAAATTTTCTAGGGTCCTTGGATTCAACGTGAGTCTTCTCATCCAATCTTCCTCTAAAAATATTTGGTTCTCTTTAGTTCACATTCACCAACAAAACCATACAAAACTTGACCCAAAATTCATCAAATATAACTTCATTGGTAATGCTTCTAACAAAGAAAGGTACAAGTGCTATTCTCTCATTTTTATAAAATATCATAACACCATAGATGTTACATTCTTCGAAAAAAAATTCTATTACCCTAACTCTAAAATTTAGAGGGAGAGTCTGTGTGTATCAAATTTGGGACACTACTCTAGATATCCACATTGAACTAGAGTCACCACAACCTATTTTACTTCTCTCTAACCATCATGCCTCCCAACTTCTATCACATGAGGATATCCAACCTGAGATTGATAGCAAGAAAATGCACAATGAATTTTGTGTGTACACTAAGAGAAATAAATCCATCGGAGCAGAATAAATATAAAATACAAGCACAGGATTGTTCACAACAAAACACGAATACACATATCTCTGAAATTTCAAGAGAGGTGGAATACAGTAGAGAAAACTTTGAAAGTTGTACAAATTATCCTATCTAGGAGTATGTTGCTAATGAGAAGTTAACCTCACCCTATAAAGCTTTTGTATCCATCTTAATAGTGTGCAGACACTCAAATGTATTCATAAAGCCCTTTAAAGTTCAAAAATGAAAAAAGAAAGTTGAAGAAGAGATCCAAGCACTTGATCTAAATGCCACATGTTAGTTACAAAGCTTCTTCAAGATAAAAGACATGTCGGGTGCAAGTGGATGTTGAATGTCAAGTACAAAGTAGATGAGAGTATTGAGAGGTCCAAGGTTAGGTTGGCGGTCAAATTTTTTGCACAGCCTAATGGGATAGACTATCAAGAAACTTTAGCACCACTGGCCAAACTAAACACTATAAAAGTTCATTTCTAAGATCGGGAACTACATCAACATGATATCAATAATATTTTTTTTAATGGAGACCTTGAAAAGAAAGTGTATACGAAGATCCCTAGAAAATTGCTCAAATAAACATTTGGATTATAAAATAAGAAAGTCATTTTATGGCCTCAAACTATCTCCAATAGTTTGGTTTGGCAAGTTTGTTAAGACTATAAAATCTAATAGATACATCCACTACAAAGATGATCATACACTATTGATAAAACATACACAAAGAGGAAAAAAAGAAAAAACTCGGTGTCCATGCAAGGCCCCGTTTGGGGCAGCTTATAACTGCGGGCGGCGTTTTCAAAAAGTCGTCGTCTGTTTGTTTCGTACATTTGGGGAGCTTAATGAAAAACATCGTTTTCATTTGTTTAATAGACACGACCGGGGGATAGACCCGGTGGTCCGCATCTTGAAGGCGCGTTTGATGGTTTTTCCTCCCGCGCCCTTTTGACCGTCTCTTCCTTTGCTCGAAGCCTCTCACCCTCGCCTCTCGCCCTCATTTCTCCTCTCGCCCTCGCCTCTCCCTACAGTTTTTAGCCCAACTCAATTTTTTGCACAGAGGGAACCCCTTCAGTCCAATAACTTGCCCTTGTTTCGTTCATGGATGGAACCCAGGAAATGCTCAATCCATCGTCTTCCTCTGTTGGATTTCCGGGTTTTCGTATCCATGCTAGGATTCAAGGAGAATAAGAGCTTGACAATATGTCGCATACGTTGTCTTCTCGTTCCTCTAGTTCATATCACTTGTAAGTATTCTGCTTTTAGTTTTGCTTGCAATTGTTATTACTCCGACAAGTTTTGTGATCTTTCATATTTCAAAGATGAAGTTTTTTTTTGTTTTTGGATCTTTGAACTGAATTTTGTGTTTGGTTTTAGGTCGGAGATGAAGCAAGCTGAAAGCTTTAACTGAAAGTCTTGATCTTTAGAGCATGTTTGTTGGATTTGGTGTAGTTTTTATGCTTCTTTCGTAGTAATTGTCAGCTTTTTTTTCATTAAGTTTAGTCATCTTTCTTCAAATATAAAGATTTTTCACCCTTTTTCTGCTTTGTGGAGCTTTGGGGTGATTTATGTGAAGGTTTAGGAGGTGAAAAAAATTAAATGTTTGAATAGCAAGGCTAGATATTTAGCACCTAGATGTAGTTTTCATGATGGGCAGAATGGTCATTTAACCACATACAGCTGCAAATCAGTTGTTTTTAGATAGTTGCCCCAAGCAGCCAATCAGCTTATCAGGACAAACTGCTTATCAGGATAAGCTGAAAAAACTGCAGCTACCTCAAACAGACCCTAAATGATATGAAATTAAGAATCTAGAAGGTATGAGATACTTTCTGGGCATGGAAGTTGTCAAAGTTTATGAAGGGAATTGTGATATCCCAAAGAAAGTACATTTTAGACATACTAAAAAAGACAAGAATATTGGGGTGTAGACCAACTGAGGTGTAAACCAACTGAAACTCCTATTGATTTCAATAAAATGTTACATTCAGGGAGAGAAAAGACATCAATGAAAAAAGATAGACACCAAAGTTTAACGGAAAAGCTTATCTATCTGTCACTATGTATGCAAAAATTTTATCATTTGGAGGAGCAAAAAGAAAGCAGCAGTCTCTAGAAATAGCATGCAGTCTGAGTATCAGACACTTGCTTTGAGAATTTGTAAAGGAATGTGAATCCAAATGTTACTAAATGAGTTATGATGTTCCACGGTCAATCTCATAAAGATGTTCTGTGAAAGCCAACCCATCATTAATATCAAGGTTGCGCAAACCAGACTGGACATCGAACCAAAAGAAGTAACTGTTCAAGATTCACCGAATGTTAAACTAAATATCGTAATAAATATTTAAATTATTTTAATATAATTTAAATAATGTAATAATGATATATTAATATCATTTTTATCGATACAACAAATAATATTTTAATTTAAGATAACTTTTGAATGTTTTAAACAATATTCTAAATAAAAACTTTAAGACATAATATTTTATCTTTTTATTAATATAAATATCTTATTTTTGGCTATCTAATCAAAAAATCAAATCGTTAAAAATAAATAATATTTGAACGGCCCAATTTTTTAAAAATTGGACAGGTTCAACAACTCTCCGATTCAACCCTAATTCTGACTGGTTCAATCTTGATTCTATGCAAAAACGGTTCCGAGATTGGACCAAACTAGAAAAATGATATGTTCAACGTTGAATCGGTCAAACCAACCGGTCTGGTCTGATTTTTAAAACCATGATTAGTTGAAAAGAATTATCTGCATAATGGCAGAACAAAACACATTAAGATTAATATAAATTTTATCTCTAAAAAACTAAATGGTAGCATTATACACATAATCTACATTCCAACTAATCTTCAAGCCGCTGATATCTTTCACTAAATCCCTACCTGAAGTCAACTTCACTAATTTGAATTCCAAGCTAAGTCTTTACAACAACGACCCAGCTTCAGAGGGAGTGTGAAATTTCATTCTTATTAGGTGGCCCAGACCACTGACCATATAGGCCGCACAACTTCAATCTATGATAGCTATTGGAGGGAGTGTCCTATTTCAGTTTTATTCTTTTTTTATTATGTTATATGTCTTTTCTTAACTTGTTTTATATTTGGAAAGTTGTAATAGTCTTAATTATGTTTGTCCAAGCAGGCTCCCATATAATAAGGGGAAATATTGTAACTTTAACGAGAATATAATTTCCCACTTTTCTTCAAATATAATTAGATTTTAAGTCATATCTATTTTACAACAAGCAATCATTTAATTTTCCAATAACTTTTTCTAGATTATTGCTGAGATCGAAAACCAAATAGGAAGTAAGATCCAAAATCAAAAAGGAAGTCAAGAGGAGAGCCCAAGTAGAGGCATATCATTTGTTCTCAAATACATTTCTCTCAATCTAGTGAAATCGCATAGCTACTCGCTCTATAATCTCTCCTATGCTCACTAATCTTTATTTTTTTCTCTCGTAAATTATACTGTAAGGTTCTTATGTTACTCAACGAACAATTTGGATACAACATTAATAATCATTGTTCAATTTTCTGCCCGAGTTCCCCGCCCCCCGCCCCCCTCCCTTCATCTAAGCGAGATTATAATCAGTATTTCATATAATCAATTGAACAATTGATTATATGCGAGAAAAAGACATATAACTATAACGAGAGAAGACATATAAGATAATAAAATAAATATGGTAAGATGTGGCTATCGAAGCAGCATCATCCATCCCCTCCTGCTTAGTAGATTGGTATGACAAAGTTTCTACCTTTGCCAACACAACAAAACTTCAGAACTTCCAAATCCTACTGATAGATATATCAAAACAGAAAAAAATTAAAGCATTCAAGAAAATACAATAACAAAAATTTATTTTAACAAAAAACATTTGAAATTCATTTGGAAAGAGACCTTTCACATTCAATTCAAACACAAAGGTTGATTAAAAGCTTACCGCAGCATGCAATCACTGTACTAAAAAACACCAACTCCCTGAAGTTCAGCCTGAGCTACCACAGCATTGATCGCATCAACAACGTCCATCTCCCCCCTGGCAACGGCTTCATCCATTGGGGTGCGTTCATAGCTATTAAGAATCCATAGACATCATTAAACAAACGGATACAAAATTGGAAAAAGGAAAATCTGCCATCTTAAACGGTCATCTCAAAATTTCAAATAGAACGGTGAGGACTATAAACTTACCTATTTAGCAAACTTACATTTGCTCCAGCCAGAATCAAAGCCCTTACCACCTGACCATTAGTCCTTCAGAATAATTTTATATAGCTTTTATGATGTTCAAGCTGCAGAAAGAAAATAACATCACCTCTTTTTTTCCATTGAGACAAGCCCAATGCAGTGGAGTATTCTTCTCCGTGTTAGAAGTATTTACATCCTGGTTTGCAAGATAAACAGAGACGAAGTTAGAAAAGATCATTATTTGCGTGAGTGATCTTCAATATAGATTGCTTATCAAAATCACAGACAAAATCACACCATATTTAAAATAGATTTTGCATCCAAATCCTTGGAGCATATTGCCGAATCATCATCATCATTGTCATTAGTTTTATCCCAATTATTTAAGGTTAGCATAATGAATCCTAGTTTTTCATTCCTTTCTATGGGCATCAATATTTTCTTCTCAAATCATTTTAAACAGCTTCCCGTACAATCTTAGAGCTACAACTTCTATTTCATAATCCCCTGACGCATATTTTATGTGTATTTTCTATCTATCTATGGTTGCACGTCTAAAATACAAATTTTATTTTGAGGGATTTACATATGTAGCACTTCAAACATCAGTATTTACGTATCTCATGCCCAAAATTTTATATTTACTTATATAACACCTGAATTTCTTTTAATGCTTAAAAGCTAGTACTCTGTAAACGTACATTAACAGCCAATCTTAAGAAATCACTAGCATGACCACTCGCCAGCATGAAATCAGAACTCCACAACCTCCATCTTCCTCTTGCCTGCATGAAATAGAACTGGTTTCCTACTAAACGGTTACAGCTTGTAAGCTTTGAACAGATACAGCTGACATTCTATTAATAGTTGTATAGGCGCAGTAATTCGGTGTGTAT